TGGCACACCTTTTTCTAATTTGCGCAAAGGTGCCAGATAGACTAGTGGAGTAAGTGCCCAGTGACTCTACAGCTAGAGTTGCAGAACTTCAGAGAGGGGAGCAATCTCTATTGGTTGGGAGCCCAAGGAAAGCCTCCAAGAGGAGCATTATCAGTGACTGAAAGAAGTGTAAGGAAGCTTGGAGGTCTGGGTTCCAGGCTTGGCAGAGGTGGGGTGAGACTTGTGCTCTGATGCCTCTACACCTCCCCCCTAGCTTGGCTGGGTAGTAGGCAGGAATGGGAGCCAGATGGTCCTTTTCTTTCCACCCCCAGACTCTTGGCTGAACAATTGTAGAGTGGGCAGGAGGCAGTGCCCCTCTATGGGTTCAGGATACATTTGGGCCTCCAAGGAGTCTGTGTTACCTCACTCCCTCCCCTACCCAAATCCATACCCATACCCAATCCCTCTGCAGTTGCTCAATACACCCTGACATCCCCTCTCCTGTGCTTCCCTGCCACCTTACCCCTCTTGGATGCCCCCACTCCCATGCTCTTGGACTCTGAACCTTGTGTACGCCCTGCTCCTCTTTCTGACTCCAGAACCTCCTGGATTCTAATGCTTCCCTTCATTCCCAGAATTGAATCTTCTCTTGGACCTTTCTCATTGGCTCTCCCTGACCCCTTCACCCCCATCTTCCCAACTGTTCAGGATCAGCAAGTCCCTCACTCTTCTGGTTACCCTTAATGGACCCAAATGGCCCTATAACCTCCATTTTCCTGGAACTCCACAACCACTATTTCATCCTATAATTCTCTTTGACTCCCCATGACACAACTTGTAAGCCCCAGTGACCCCCCCTCCTCCAGATATCTCATCACCTTTTTATCCCTTTTACTCCATTCCCCTAACTATTGCTAGGAACTCATTGCCTGATTGCTCCTCCCCCCACCAAGATCTCAATAATCCCATTTCTCTGGGCCTCAATATTACCCTCTCTCTGAAACCCTTTAATACTCCCAATGATCCATGTCTATCAATCCCCCTGACCTGCAAAAGCCTCATCTCCTAGAACCAGTCCCTAATAACTCTGCTTCCCTTTTCTCTTTGTAACCTTTTAATGATGCCATGTCTCTGAAGCCTTGTGACCCCTTCAAGACCTCATCTCTCAAATTCTTTCTGACTTCCAAATACCTCATCTCTCTCAACAATCCCCCCTCATAGACCCCAATGACTCTATTGATGATCCCCTTGTGACCCAGTGACCTATTTCTCTGACCCCCATGACTCCAACGACCCCAATGACCCTATCACTGATGCACTCTTGAGTCCAATGACCTGTCTCTGACTTCTCTAACCCTCAAAGACCAAATGTTCATCTCAATGTCTGTCTCTCTGTTTTCCAAGTGACTCCTAGTGACCTATCTCTCTGACCTCCCTTGACCCTAGTGGCCCCATCACTGGTGCCTTCAGGACCCCAATGACCCCCAATTTTCTTACCTTAGTGTCCTGCCTCTGGTTCCCCCGTGATTTCATGTTCTGACCCCTCCACCCCTTGCCTCCAGCCGGGTGACCTCACGTTGGCCCCTCACTGGCGCCTGTTCCCCTCCAGGTTACCGCTGCTTCAAGGCAGTGCTCTTCCTCACTGGGTTGCTGTTTGGCTCGGTGGTCATCTTCCTGCTGTGCTACCGGGAGCGGGTGCTGGAGACACAGCTGAGTGCCGGGGCGAGTGCGGGCATCGCACTGGGCATCGGGCTGCTGTGCGGGCTGGTGGCCATGCTGGTGCGCAGCGTGGGCCTCTTCCTGGTGGGGCTGCTGCTCGGCCTGCTGCTCGCTGCTGCCGCCCTGCTGGGTTCCACCCCCTACTACCAGCCGGGCTCCGTGTGGAGCCCTTTGGGGCTGCTGCTGGGGGGCGGCCTGCTCTGCGCGCTGCTCACACTGCGCTGGCCTCGCCCGCTCACCACTCTGGCCACCGCTGTGACTGGTGCTGCACTCATCGCCACTGCCGCTGACTACTTTGCTGAAGCTGCTGCTGTTGGGCGCTACGCGGTGGAGCGGCTTGCCCGCCCGCCCCCGGTGCCTTCCCCTTCTGCTGGCGGAGTTGGGCCCTGTTGGCGCTTTGGCCTCTGTTCAGCTTGATGGGCGTCTTGGTGCAGTGGCGGATGACAGCCGAGAGGGACTCCCACACGGAAGGTGAGAGGGCAGGGACCAGGGTGGTCATAAGAGGAGTGGGGGGTGGGTGGGCGGGTGAGCAAATTGGGGAGTGGGGGGAGAAGCTGTGCACACCAGCAGTGGAAGGCCTCAATAGGGTTAGAGAGGTGACTCGATCGTGGTCTGGGAAGGAAGATAGGACCTCAGTGGTACTATTCATTCCACAACAACGTATGGAGCAGCAGCTCTGAGCTAAGCCCACTCCAGAACTGGAGATACAACAGAGACAAAAATAGAAGAGGCCCCTCCCTAACAGACATGCAAACAAACAAGATAGTTCCAGTTGTGCAGAGTGATATGAAAGATATGCAGGGTAATATGAGTGACCTTCAGAGGCTATTATAGACAGGGTGCTCAAGGAAGGCCACTTGGAAGAGGTGACGCTTAAGTAGAGTTCTGCAGAATAAGGGACCAGCCATGCAAAGAGCTAGAGAAAAGGGAATAGCAAGAGTGGGGGCCTGAGAAGGGATGGGCTTGGCTTGCTGAAGAAATGGGGCTGGACTATGAGGACTGAGGGATGCTGATTATGTGGGCCCTCTGGGCCATGATAAGGATTTTATTTATGTTTTATATTTTTATTGATTTCAGAGATGAAGGGAGAGGGAGAGAGAGCTAGAAACATCAGTGATGAGAGAGAATCATTGATTGGCTGCCTCCTGCATGCCCCACACTGGGGATTGAGCCCACAACCCAGGCATGTGCCCTGACTGGGAATCGAACCGTGACCTCCTGGTTCATAGGTCGACACTCAACCACTGAGCCATGCCAGCCAGGCTGGATTTTATTAGGAGGGCAATGAGATGCTGCTGGAGGCTTAAAGCAGGGAGGACATGATCTAATTTAGCATTTGGGATGTTCATTCTGGCTGCTGAGTGTAGAAAACATCGGGGAAGGCAAGTGTAGAAGGGAAACCAGTGAGGAGGCAGCTGAGGTTGTCCAGTAGAGGGATGATGATGGCTGGTCTTGGTGAGTCACCTAGACCTCAGGGTTGGGAGAGGGATGACAGCTGGAGAGGGGTACCTAGAAGTCTAGGAATCTTCCATAAAGAATTCAGAGGTAAAGAGCAATGGAAGTCCCATCTGGGAGGTGGGAGACCAGGAAAGGAAAGCGAGGGGTTACAGATAAGGGGAATCTGGAAGCCCTAGGCCACCAGGTAGGAAGGGTGGAGATGACCCATGTGGACCCCTGAGACTCTCCTCTGCCCATCCCTTCACAGTGGTCATCAGCCGGCAGCGACGACGTGTGCAGCTGATGCGGATAAGGCAGCAGGAAGAGCGCAAGGAGAAGCGTCGCAAGAAGAGACCCCCAAGGGCTCCCTCCAGAGGTTCCCGGGCTCCTCCAAGGCCTGGGCCCCCTGACCCTGCTTATCGGCGCAGGCCAGTGCCCATCAAACGCTTCAATGGAGATGTCCTCTCCCCGGTGAGTACTCCGAGCCCCTCCAATCTGAGTGGGGTCAAGGGAGTGTGTAAGCTCCGTCCAAGCAGGACTGGGCTTTCCCCAGGGGCTGGGCACTGTCTAGAAGGCCTAGTGTTTGTCCACCCATCATAACCCCTGTACCAGGAGCCTGATGGGCCCAGCGCTGGGATGGGGGAAAAGTGCCTGAGTAAGAATTTTAACTAAGTATGGTATGGGGTAGGGTCTCAGGGCTAGACTATGAGTGTGATGAGGTCCTGGGACTGCAGCCGTCTGGGGTGAGTCTCAGGCTTGTGGGGGTGCAGGGAGAGGATGTCTGCCTGAGGTGGCTCTCAGGGCAGGGGTCTGTGACTGCACTCACACCTGTGTTTATTCTCCCACAGAGCTATATCCAGAGCTTCCGGGACCGACAGACAGGAAGCTCACTGAGCTCCTTCATGGCCTCACCCACAGACATGGACTATGAATACGGGTCCCGGGGACCACTGACAGCCTGCACAGGGCCCCCTGTGCGGGTATAGCAGTCTAGCTGCTCCCGCCCAACTGGACTCTGTGGTCACCAGCTCTGTTAGCTTGCGGAGGCCTGCTGGGCCACCACCCAGCCCACCTCGCCCTGTAGCCCATGGCTGTTTCTCTACCCTGGAGAGGACTGGCCTGGCTGCTAGAAGGGAGGACCTGTCTCGGGCTATGCCTGGTCTGAGGGAAAGCCCTCTCCCAAGGGGCTCCTGAGGGACAGGGGGTGTGAGCCCCTTTGGGGTGTGCTCAGGGTTGTGAGTGTGTCACCTGTGTGTGCGTGTGCATGAAGGGGTGGGGTTGGAGGGAACACTGGGACCCTTGCCTTAGATTTCTGACTGGTAGGGCTTCTGCAAGGTTTGCCCACCTCCTCTTCCACTGCTGGGGTCCCATGGGCCACTCTCCTGCATGTCTAAGTGGGGGGAGGTCTGCCTTCTCCCTCCACCGCTCTGCCTCTCAGCCAGATTCATCCAAGGCTTCTTGTCCTTCTCCACTGCAGCACCCCTCACCCTGGTTCCCTGTCCTCTGCAAAGCCACCAGCCTGAGGGCGGTGGCAGAGGATGGGGGTGGGGGCTGCTGCTCTGGGCTGGGTTGGGGAGGGGGCCTGGGGCTAAGGGGGCTTAAATGCACGATGCATGTCTGGTGTCTGTCAATGCCACCCTGGACACCTCATGCTTCTGTCTCCCTTCGCCCCACCCTGTTTTACATCTTTTATAAATGTGCCAAACTGTGGCTTCTGCCAAGAGTAGTGATCTTTGGTGGCTGGCACGTCCATGGGCCAACTCGGAAGCACTGTAGTTCTTGGTCCCCTGTGTCACTCACCACACAGGGTCCTCCAGGCCAGTTCTGCCCTCCTTCGTCATACAGAGAGCCAAGGAAAAGGGCTACACCACTTTTATTGTTTTTCAATACCTCTGGTTCCCTGCCTCCCATCCCTGCCCAGGGTAAGGGCATGCGCCTTCCAAGCTGTCCGAGGGCACCCGCCTGGCCTGGTTCGGTCCTTCTAGCTACCTGCAGAGGAATAACTCCGCGTGGGGCTGGGGAGAAAGTGGGTACCACCCTCCTCCCTGGCAGAACCTGGGCATCCACACAGGAAGAGTGGCCCTCACCCTCTGCTCCACCCTTTCTTGGGCCTCTGTCACGGCTGTCTGCGCTGCAGGAAAGTGGGGGGGGGGGGGGGAGGAGCTGGATAGGGGTGGGGCAAGGCATCTGAAGGGAATGCAGGAATTGGGGTGGGGAGTGGGGCATCTCCTATGTGGGAGAGGAAAGAAATGGGACTAGCTCAGGAGCCCTCTGTCCAGGCTGATGTTGAACTCACTGAGATGGGCAGAAGCCAGCAGAGAGCAGGAGGGGGTAAGGGACCTGTGGGGGCCACAAACCAGGAGCCGGTAGTTGGAAGGATAAGAACTTGGGTACAAATGGGGTACTCAGGTGAGACAAACATGGTGCAGTGGCAGGAGGAAGTGAGGAGGGTACTGGACAGGAAGGGGTGTAGAAAGGTGGGAATCGCTGCCCTGAACCCAGTGGTTCCCGTGGAGAACACAGCTCCTTCCTCTCCTCAGCCTAACAGATCCCTGGCCTCCCCACTTCCTACCTTCAGTACATCCCAGGACCAACTGGCCACCCCACGCCCTGAAATATCTGCGGTAGGTGTGTCTCAGCCCACCAGCTCCCAGGTGACCACTTTTGCCTGGCCAGGCCTCCTGCCCAAGTCAGCTTCACTCACCCTCTACCAGCAGCCGCGTGTGGGCGCTGTCTTGGCCGGCCTGGCAGCAATAGGTGCCCTGGTCCTCAGGTCGCACGTCACGGATGACCAGGCTGTGGGTGGGGCCATGGCTGCGCAGCTCGTACTTGTCTCCCGGGCACAGCGCGACCCCCTCCCGCAACCAGCACACATGCCCCCCGGAGCGCGACACAGTCACCTCCAGGACCGCCCGGCGGCCCACCAGAACCGTCTTCTCGCGAGGCGGGCGGCGGCACATCTGGAGAGGCAGTGCTGGGGTGGAGGACGAGGGCTTAAGTTAATAGGGACACGCAGGACCCCGAGGAAGAGAAACGCATCTTCCCTCCCCCCACGGCCACCGCTCCGGGTCTGAGATCTCAATGCCACGGGCCCATTCCTCTGTACCCTCAACTCAAAGTCTCCTCCTCCCCCGGAGACGGCGCACTGCCTCTGTGACCCGCCCAGGGAGAGCCCCCCGAGAAAGGGAGGTGGGGGAGGCAGCGTTCCTAGGACAAGCCGCCAGCCTGCCAGGCCCAGGGAAGGTGATGCCCACTCCAGGCCGCCCCCGCGGCAGCGGCTTACCCTCCACTTCCAGCTCAGCTGCGGACTGGGCGGGTCCCGCCTGGAAGCGGACCTCACCGGCGTCCTCCGCGCGCAGCTCACTTAGCACCAGAATATGTTTCTTCCCTGAGGACGAAGGGGGCGCTAGCGAGCGGAGCCACTCTGGGAAGGGATCGGAGCTGGTGGGGCAGGAGTAGGTCGCCGGGTCGATTCGGACGCGACAAACGTGCGCTAGGATGGGCGGAACTGGGATGCGGAGGGGGAGGAGGAGCGGGCCAGGACCGAGGGCTCCGACCCGGGGGCTCGCGGAGAGACAGGCTGACGGCTTAGGGACGTGGGGCGGGGCCCGTTCGAGATGGAGGCGGGGCTAATCCGAGTGGGCGGGGTCTATGCGAGCCGGGGGCGGGGCAGCGAGGAGCTAGGGTAGCAAGTCGGCCAGACCTTCCTGTCGGATGCGGATGCGGCCTCCGGGTCTCAGTGGGCGGCCTCCGAGCTTCCAGCTGCCGGTGGTCTCGACCTCTGATACGGTGCACTCGAACGTAGCGCTGTCGCCTTCGCGGACGCTCACCGGCCGGAGCTCGGACAGCACGGACACCACGCGCTCTGGGGCGGAGCCGGGGGCGTGAGGCGGGGCGGGGCGGAGGGTGGTACCCACCCCCCGCCCCGCCCCTCGTCGGGGAGCACCCGAGTCAGTCCCAGGGAAAGGGCGGTCTGCAGACCCCGAGCCCACATCAGTGCCCGGTCCCAGCAGCACCCCGTACCCACCGCGCACGGTCAGGCGGACGGGGCCCGCGCGGGCCGTTCCCGCCGCGCAGCTGTAGGTCCCAGCATCCAAGGAGCCACAGCGCCGCAGCTGGAGAAGGCGCCGCGCGCCGAGGGCCTGGAGCCTGAGCCGGGGGCTGGGGATGAGCGGGCGCCCGTCCTAGGGATGGGGGTGGCAGAGGGTCCGGATGAACTCAGCTGGGCACCGGCGACCGCGGCCCTGGGAGGCGGTGGCGCCCTCAGTTGATGCCAAGCAGTTTGGAGGCGTGTTTATGTTAGTCTGCGTCCCCCAGTCTGGGGTGGAGCCGTCCTGCGCTTGCGAGCCGCGCTAGGAGCCTCATTGGGAAGGTGTCACCCTTTAGGGGACATTAAGGTTGAGAAGGGGCTCCACAGGTGCGGGAAGCCCGGGGTCACGTACCAACCACATTGGCCATGAGCATGGATTCTGGAATTAGACAAACCTGGATTCAAATATGGGCTCGGCCCCTTTTGTCTTCCCCTGGGGGCCGGGCCTGGGCAATCCTTTACCCCACAGAGCCCTGGTCTCCTTGGAGATAACATGGAGATAACAAGACCTACCTGAAAGAGTTGTGAAGATTAAAGGATTAAGTGTACAGCACATCTGAGCACAGTGGCAGGCACATCCACTCAGTATTAGTTTGGGCCATTATTACTATTGTGGTGCCAGGGTGGGCTGGGCTGGGGCTGGGCTCTGACCTTCTCCCAGGTAACATCAGCCAAGGCCTGGGAAAGCTCGCACTCGAATGTAGCTGTGTCGCCCTCGGTCACCTCGAAGTCCTGTGGCACCTGCACAAAGGTCACTGGGGCCTCTGGGATGGGAAGAGGAGGACAGTGCAGAGGGGACAGGGGTGAGGGCCGGCTGAGGGCCTGGCTCCCAGGGACATGGAGAGCACACAGGGCACAAGGGGTTAGTGGTGAACACATTTAGGCAAGGTGAGCAGGGGAGGTCACCAGTGGGATGTGTTAGGACAAGTGGACGATGCTGGTCGGTGGAGGACACCGTGAAGTTACAGGGTTAATGGGGCAGGAGTAGCCAGCTGGTGGTCACACTTTAAGGTGGTCAGTGTGGGTCATGCTGGTGCTAGAGGGACTGGGGGCAACTAGAGCAGAGCTGCCAGTGGAGTCACCCACAGACAGGCATGGTCTGTGATGAACAGGAGACACTGGACAATGAGGGGTACAATGTATTCAGAGTAGCAATGGGGGGATACACTGTGCTAGAAGCAAACATGGGGGACACAGACAGAGGGTCATTGGGATTTGAGTGGTCAGAAGGGCACACTCAGGTAGGCAGACGGGCACAGCAGGCAGGTGTGGTCAGTGGGGTCACACTCAGTGTGGTGAGTGGGGCCATGGTCAGCATGGGCAGACAATAGGGACCAGACTGGCTGGCACAGCCTGCTCACAGTGGCTCACAGTGGCTCACAGTGGCCCAGTCAGTGGTTTGCAGGGACTGGAGGGCCAGTGGAGCCACACTCAGGCAGGGTAGTCGCTGGGGCCACACAGGGCCAAAAGGTGGGGGGAGCCACACTCTGGTAGAGAGGTCAGTGAGGGGCACACTGGGCCATGGTCAGTGGGGGCCACACAGGTAGTGGGATCAGTAGGGTCACACCCAGGCTGGTCAGCAGGCAGCAGTGTCCCGGAGGCCGCACCTCTCACAGTGAGTCTGGCTGCACAGCGCAGGGAGTCCGCCGTGAAGGAGATGCAGCCTGAGTCGGCCAGGCCCAAGCCACTGAGCGCCAGGTGGTAGGTACGGCCCTCTGTGTGAATGCGGCACTGGGGTCCCGGGCGCAGCCGGACTCCACCCCGGGCCCATTCCCCCATCACACCCTCCTGGGACAGCTCCAGCTGGAAGGTGGCGCTGCCCCCCTCGATGATGGTCATGTCCTCCAGAGGCCGCAACACCCTTAGCTGCCTTGCTGGTGGGGGGAGATGGGGAGAGAAGGAAGATGAGGGCTCCAGCTCTGGGCATGGGTTTTGGGGGGTCTCACACAGCCTTTGGTCCTACCTGCACCACCCCTAACACCTAACCTATGAAGGGCCTATCAAATGAAGCTCAGAACTAGGATGCAGGAAGAAAGGAGCACAGCCCACCAGACTTAGGAGGAGAGAGGAGCTTACTGGGGTTAGGAGAAGGGGGTGAGGTGTGGTTAGAAGGCTGAGGAGTTTGGGTGAGGGGTGCTGTGACCCTCACTCAGAAGAAGCACAGAATTCTGAGTCAGACATACCAAGATTGGACCCTAGCTCTGCCGCGTAGCTGTGTACTGTGTGACCTTTGGCAAACTGCTTGACCTCTCTGGGCCTTAGTTTCTCCAATTATACAAGGGGAATAGCATTGAGATATGGGTTTAATGTGATTAAATGAATGAAATAAATTAGAAAAGAATATGTATCACCAACAAGAACCATTTACCAAGGTTTTTGTGGGCATTTTTCATGTTATCTCATTGAATATCCCCAAAGACTCTTGAAGTAGGAATCAGCCTCATTTTTAAGACTTGGCTCAGAGTAAGTAAGTACTTTGCATGAAGTCACACAATTCATAGAGGGCTCCAGCTTGGGGGGTGGGGGTGCTATTTGCCGGCCACCCCTGCTTCTGAAATGGGCCCGCGTATCCTGGGGCCTGTGACTAAAGGATAAACACCGCTAGTCTTTCTGGAGGATAATATTTATGTTTATAGCAAAGCCAACGTGGACATGTGAAATGGAACGCAAAATCCACATGGACTTCTAAGGTAAATAGAAAACTTTAGAAAAAGAAAAGTTTTGCTTCCAGCAGGCCACTTCAGGTCACAGTCCTGGAGGTCAGCCAGGGCTGACTGGCCTCAGAAGCCGGGGGCACTTTGGTGGGGGCCTGAGGGGCCCTGGGCCAGCCAGGAAAGGCTGTGCCGTAGGGCGGGCAATTCATTAGGAGAGGACAGGGCACTCACGCCTTACGCTGAGCCTGGCCAGGGTGCGATCGTGGTGGCTCTCGCAGCCGTAGGTGCCTTGGTCAGCCAGTACAACACCGTGGATGAAGAGGCGGTAGATGTGGCCATCCTGGGCCACAGACAGGCGAGAGTCGTGGGGTAGGGGCTCCCCACCTCGAACCCAGCGCACGGCCCCCACTGCACCCACTCGGCCCGTCTCCACTTCCAGGCACACGTCCTGGCCTTCCTCCACCCGCATGTCCTGCAGCCGCCGAAGGAACAGCAGCTCGGTTTCTGGGGAGGCAGGGGGAGGGGGCCATGGAGCCTGGATGTGCCTGGAGGCGGACCCCCTGTTCCATCTCACTGGTTTGTCCCTGGGCACAAGGGCAAGGCTGCTAGGGTGGGGCAAGGAGCATAGGTAGAGGGAATAAGACCACTGCGTCCCCATCGGGACCAAACCTCGAATGTGGAGCCGGGCACTTGTTGCTGTGCCCCCTGCTTGGGCAGTCACTATCCCTGCGTCCTTCAGCTGGCACCCTCTCACGGTCAGGGTGCGGGTTGACCCGCTCTGGGCCATCTCTAGCCCAGGTCCTGGAGTGACAATGGCCCCATTGCGCAGCCAGGTGACGTCGGCGTCTGGAGGGGAGACTTCACACCGGAACGTGGCGTCGTCACCCTCGTGGACAGTGAGTGGTGTCAGCTCTGAGACCAGCTTCACCGGTGGTGGTTCTGGTGGGGGGTGGTCAGGCAGTGAGGCGGGCTGGGTCTCCCTCTCCCTTCTCATCCCCTCCAGAGGGTAGAGGCGTCACCCCCAGTTATTTAAGAGACTTTTCCTGGGACCTGCTGTGTGTCAGCCACAGGGATGTCCCAAAGGACTGGATAGATGCCTCTCTTGGCCAACTCCTCTCCACCCTGGCCTGGTACCCCACCTCTCTGGCTCCGTAATAACAATAATTCACCTACCATGGACCCTATTTATTTCATTTAACTGTCACAATAGTCCTATAAGGCAAGCACTCCCCCCCCCGCCCCCAACACACACACACACACACACACACACACACACACACACTTCAGAGCTGGGACTCAGAGAAGTTAGGCCACTTGCCAGTGTCACTCAACTACTGGGAAGCAGAATCCACACTGGAACCTGGGTGGGTCACTCCAGAGCCCCTGCTTTTAACCACTGGGCCTCCTCCTATTTGAGAGTTTCTAGACAAGGGGGCTCTGAGCCCCTATCCAAGGAACAGTTGTGCATGAATTGGTGGGAGCCAGAGGCAGTGAGGTGCGGGAGTGGGTGGGTGAGGGGATCCCAGCATGGTGAGGGGTGTGGACCCTGGGGGGACCGGGGCCCAAAGGGTGTGAGGGGTGCAGTTACCTTCTACACTGACCAGGAAGATGCGGCTGTCCTGGGGTGCGTCGCACAGGTACTCCCCAGCGTCTCCGCTCTGTGTGCCCCGCACCCGCAGCACCTGCCTCGCCCCGGCCTGCTCCAGCTGCACCCGCCCCTGGCTCGCCCAGTCGCTCCCCGTCCTTGTACCAGCGCACAGTGCCCCCAGGCCCGGAGAGGTGTACCACCAGCTCTAGGTCCCTGCCTGGGGTGCTGCGAACTCTTGTTTGGGCCGCTTCTGGGGTCACCACCCGCACGGAGGGCTCTGTGGGGGCAGAGCTTTGGGTCACTGGGAGGAAGTGGCTCAAGGGCTATATAGAGAGCAGTGGAGGCAAGATGGGGAAAGGTACAGGAGGGGACAGGCGTGCTAGAGGAGCGGGGAACACATGGGTTCTTGCCCAGGCTGTACTCACCAGCCACTTGGACAGTGAAGCTGAGGCTGGGGGCGCCTGGGGCCTCCCCGGACTGGCAGGTGTACAGGCCGGCGTGGGCTGGCTCTGCAGCCCGGATGCAGAGGACGCGGCGGGGGCCCTCGGCGTGGAGCTCCACGCCCTCCTCCTCCTGCACCGGCCTCCCGTTGTGGCTCCAGAACACGAGGGCGCCAGCCCGGGAAAGCTCACAGCTCAGCATCACCGGCTCCCCGGGGGCCACACAGAGCGGGCCGGGGGCTGCCTCTGGGGCAAGGAACTGGACTGGGGGCTCTGAACAGAGAGAGGAGGGGTCAGCTTGGGCTGCTTCCCGCCCCTCCCCTCCCC